ATGGCAAAAAGACCCAGACTGCTAAATCAGCTGGATTCAGGAAGAGCAAAGGGGAAATCGGTCTTTTACTTTTAAGTTCAGACATCTGCTTTTTACAAGTTTCTGACCAACTGTGCAGGAGAGCATATTTACCAAACCCCACACAACAACTCCTGTTACTGGTCATCTTTTGTTGAATGTGACATTTTATGTAAAGACTGGTCTGCATTGTGCACAAGCATAGTGTTTTTGCTAATTATTCTAACCACATGACATCACTAGCACATGTTTTTGGTGAAATTTGGTGAACGTAAATGTTTCCATCCATCCATCCATCCATTTTCTTTACCCGCTCATCCTCACAGGGTCGTGGGGGCACTGGTTCCTATCTCCAGCTGTCTCCAGGCATGCAGGCGGGGTACATCCTGGACAGATTTCCAGTCCATCACAAGGCAACACAGAGACACACAGGGCAAACAACCAAGCACAGACACACACTCACACCCAAGGACTATTTCGAGAGACCAAGGAACCTAACAGTCATGATTTTGGACTGTAGGAGGTAGCCGGAGCACCCGGAGAGTACCCACGCATGCACAGGAAGAATGTGATGACTCCATGCAGAAAGACACCAGATATGAACCCAGGACCTTCTTGCCGCAAGGCAACAGCGCTTACCACTGCATCACTGTGCAGCCCAGTGTAAATGTTTCCCTAAAACATTTTAATTGTCACCTTTATTACATAAAACTTGCCCTAAAAGTTGTGTATTAGACAATTTGCTCCTCCTGATTTTAAGTATTTTTACCACTTTGTGGACATGACGAGAGCACTAAAGATTTCCAACAATGCATCCAATCCTGTAGAAAAATCTGTTAAAGACCTGATTGAGACGGAGCAGCAGAACAGTTACATCACTCCCAGAAGAACTGGTAAATTCAGACACAGAGCAGAATGTAGACATGTTCAGCTCTTCGGTCTGTCCATCTGTAAATCTGGCTCAAAAATTTCTTATTTTTATGCCACGTTTTCCATTAGGCTATTTATCTTTAATCCTTCTGATTTAAGAACTCTGTTGTGTGACTCACCCAACTCAGAGTTGGCAGTTTGACTCTTCAGTGAAAATCTCTCTTTGATTCTCCAAACTGACATCCATCTGATTGCTACCTGCTGCACTATAATGACTGCTCAGCACATCTCCGAAGAACACCATTCAAATACCCCCCCCCCCCCCCCCCCGAAAAAAAATCACTTCCCTAAAAAAGGACTTTGTTGTGTGCTTTAGAAATGTTCCCAGCACAAAAACAATCTGTGTAAAAGATCAGAAACGCAGATTACTGGCAAAGTTAAAAGTTAAAGTTAAAGTCCCATTAGTTGTTACACACACAGGTGTGTGTGCGAAAACTGTTGACCCATCCCCTGGGGGAGCGGTGAGCTGCAGACACAGCCGCGCTCGGGAACTATTTGGTGGTTTAACCCCTCAATCCAACCCCTTAATGCTGAGTGTCAAGCAGGGAGGCATTGGGTCCCATTTTTTCAAAGTCTTTGGTATGACCCGACCAGGAATCGAACCCCTGATCTCACGGGTCTCAGGGCGGACACTCTACCACTAGGCCACCTTTAGTGGTAAACACAGGTTTAGTTGCCTGTTGTCTTTAATTATAAATAATATGTATCTGTAATAGTCCTAATCCTACGATGACTGTTTAGCTCTTGAAGGAGAACGTCCGAGTGGTAATTAGTGGGACAGTGAATGCGGGCGTATTTTCTTATTAGAGAGGCATCTCTTAAAGCTAAAAATAACGAGTTCCTTTAGACCACTTATTTATTATCTTTCTGTGTTTTTAATTGTGTTGGCTGCTATCAGTAGCCACTCAAGCTTCCGCTTTAGGAAAAGAATAAACTACATGTGGAAGAAGAATAGCAATTATCTTCCACCACATACCAGGGGTCACGACCTTTGTGAAGCTGAGAGCCCTTTCATCGGTACTCACCCACACTAAAGTCAACGCAGTACTGACCTTTGAACTTGAGTGGATCAGAGTTAAACTAAACTTCATGTATAATAAACATATTTTGATGTTTTTTAAATCTACATTAATGCATTTGTGATGAAAAAAGATTGCAGCAGATTGTTTTATTAGACTTCTTGTGTCATTTGGAGAAAAGGCCTGTTTGGTTCTGGGGGCACCAGGTTGGTGACCCCTGGCCTATACTATGTATTTTTTATATTTGTCATTCAAATCGATTGAAGTTTTGCTAAGTCAAGCTCTATACAGAGAACATAAGTCGGTGCTCCAGTCGTGTCTTAAATCTGTTTAATAAAAGCCACTATCGGTGACAGAGCAACGTCTAAATGACGTGAGGGCGGGGTAACCGCTGGGCATGAATGACAAACACATACTGAAGCATTCACATCTGTCTCAAATGAATGCAGGTTATGAAAAGATGAGGTCAGCGCCAAGCAAAGCATGAGAAATGTGGAGAAAATTCAAGCTCATTGATATTGGCGGTGTGTGCTGAGCAGTCCGAAAGCTCAATGAGCAGTTTCTGTTTTACAGCACGTCCAATTCTGTGGTACGATCAATCACAGCTGCCAGATTCACCTTCTGCCACACTATTCCAGGTGAAAACATACCTGCCACTCTTTGTGTTTCAGCCACAAAACCTTTAGTAAAGCGACCTGAAGGCAAAAAACAAAAACCCATCCCTCCAGATCCAGGACAGGAAGCACCTCCTTCATGTGACACGCTCCAGCTCCTCCTGGAGGACCCAAAGATGCCCCAAGCCAGAGAGGACACATTTACAACTCTATGATTTATGTTTTGCATATTAAATAAGCGGAATTGCAGATGTCTGGATGTGATGTAACAAATCTGGGGCTTTCTTAGCATTATATGGGTTTTTACAAACACAACGAGTGGAGAGCTGAGTAGAAGAAGTCCACAGCAGGCAACCATAAGTCACCTAAGCTTTCCACCGGATCTGTGATGTGATTTTCATGGTTTCATTGAGACCTCAGAAAAGCATCCCATACTACCAGGAGAGTTTCAGATGTGCGTCGTCTGCAAATGCGTTCAACACACCTGGTCCAGCGAGGTCACAAAATCACAGGAGAAATGCAAGATTACTCCAGATCTCCCCAGTTCACACAAGAACAAGCAAGCAGAAAAACGACAAAAGGGTTATTTTCTGTCCTGTACAACTCAGCCGCGGAGGCGTCACAGGTAACAATGTACTTCCTTTACTCGCTAAGCTACTGGAAATCTGCACGTATATTTCAGGTAGAAAGTTGCCGGAGGCTTTATGCTATTCCTGAATTTGATTTCCTGTCTGGCCTGATCTGAGCTGCTGAGAACGATGTGTTCTGGAAGCAAAACACAGAAAAAAGCATCAAAGCATCAATTTAGCAGAGTGCCACAACCGTACGCTTTTGGGATGCGACTGAGACGTGCCACTCTCTGCAGTGATAGATGCCACTTTATCAAAGCTCTTTTTACAAAGGGATAGAATCACTTATGTGAAGTACGATTCTACTAATGTTGTTGATTTAAGGCTCCTTAAGAAGCAATGGATGTTGAACTAAAATAACTTTTGCAGAATTTTAGTCCAAAATTTTCATTCTCAAGAAATTTCAAATGTTTTTATCGAATTGTTGAAATTATAACCATCCAATACACAAAAAAACTAAAGCATTAAAAGAACCCATGTAATCCTTCTATCGTGGCTGAGGTAGGATGTAGAGTTTCTCCTCGTTGGACATGCCAGAAAACCTCCAGGAGTCATCTTATTTAGAACCACCTCAGCCAGCTTCTTGTGATCCAGAGATGCAGCAGCAATATTCTTACTCCGGCTTTCCACTGGATACGTAAGAAGCATGTAATGTAATAGGCATGTTTTACCTGTAAGCTGTGAAAAAACAGCAGTGAGAGCATACTGGCCCTGCGAGGTCACAAGCATATCGGTGAATTGTAGGACCATGCATGATTTTGGCAGTTCACATAAAAATCATGGAGAAAGACGGCAGCTTGTTTGCAGAAAAGTCTCTGGCTTATCTTCTGCTCTGTTCACCTCAGCTACGGAGGTTTCACAAGAAATGATGTTCTCTTTTTCACAAGGTAAGCAACTGGAAATGGAAATGTGACTTTTATTTTGAAAGTTCCCAGATGCTTTACATTGCTTTTGTGTAAATGCATACGCGGCGCATCTCTACGCTTCTGGGATGCTTCCAAGATGTGATGCTTTGCGGTGAGAGGACATGCACCAGTCCACCGTAACAGTCACTAATGGCCCTTACACACTGGCATCAGCCAGGTTGGGAGTGTTCTCATTTAGGTAGTCTTGCATTTTCCCAAGAGCAACGGGAGGTCTTTGTGGCCTTCTTCTCGAGGAGGTCTGCCTGAAACCAAACAGGGCTGACACACCACTGTTGTCTGACTGGCTGGCTCAAAAGCGCGCCTACCATTAGGGGAAGCCTCCGATTGGTGGATAGAATCCGCCCATGGGGGCTTCTCGCATGCGGGATTCAATGTCATTCTGGATGCTGTGGAGTTAACAAGCCTCTGACTGAAGACGTTTTTCTCTGTCCCTCACTGCTGTGAGGATGCGCGCAAGCACACACACACACACACACACACACTGATGTCAGCAGCTTGTTTTGGGGATTTTATTTTCCTTTCAGTCTCTTTCCAACCACATGGCAATGACTGGGGGTGGTAGCAGAGATGGACCAGTAAAGTAAGAGCTTTGGCTTCCGACTCAGCTGCTTTTTCACCTAAACAGACCATTAAAGCAGATGAAGCTCTAATCCATCAGCCCATCCTGTATCATTGGTGAACAACACACCAACATCTTAGACTCCTCCACCTGACCCCAAACAACAGCTATTCACAAATCCATAAAAGTTGGTTGATTATCAGGTTGCCCATCCAAACTGCTTATGTCACAACTTTAGCACAAAGGAATCTTGTTTAATTTTACACATAAATGTAACAATGTTACAGTTAGAGCGTAATACTCACCTACAGCCTTCAGCGAGGCATATTTATTCAGATCCTTGATTTGCTGCTGCTGATGCTGCTGCTGCTGATGCTGCTGCTGCTGATGCTGCTGATGCTGCTGCTGCTGATGCTCATAGACATGGGTCAGCTGGCTGAGGGCCGGATTCGGGTGCTGCTGGCCAATGTTTGAGCTCTGTCCCACATTGCTGTTAATCTGGGCACTCTCTGTGGACAAGGACAAAGGACAGGACAAGGTTAAAATTATGCTAGAAAATCCCACTCTCACTAGCCAACATGCATGGAGAAATGGTTAGCTAAGGGACAACATGACAGGGATAACGTTCACACACCAGCTTCTGAATCATCTGGCATAAACTTCTACTTTTATTGTGAAATCTGCTTTCCAGGCTCCAGTTTAAATGAACAGAATCATCATCATGTTTTTCTATCAAGTTGCCACTACAATAGTACAATTGTGTTTGATGCTATGCAAGTACATCTGAACATGACCCATCTGGTGCTGCATGTCAGCCCGTTTGCACACCAGTAATGGGCTAAGACAAGTTTGTCTTATTCTAAAGTTGAATCTAAACCAAGCTATTATCATTGACCTATGAAATTATAATAAAAACACAACTAAAGAATAAAACTAGTTAACAGATGATTTCCCTCAATAATTCATCTTGGCCCCTTAACGACTTGTCGACAGGTCTCTAAGGTCAGTAAATAGACCAGAAAAGGTCCATTGACTTCCATCCATTTTAGTGACCCCACTACGCCTAACCTTAACCCTAACCAATGGTGTTCTAATCCTGACCATAAAGTTAACTCACACCATACCCCTAAAACCAAGTAGTAGGGTGTTTCGCACTATAAGAACCATCAAGACGTCCCCACAATGTGGAAACCAATCAATCAAACTTTATTTATAAAGCACTTTTCCTACAAAGAATGCAACGGAAAGTGCTTTACAGATTAATATCACCCTACATAACCCTCATTCCCATCCCTCCCACACCAATTTAAATGCAATTGCCACACACAGGTTAAAGGTCAAAATGTATCCTCTTATACATGTAAAGTACAAGTACACACACACACACACACACACACACACACACACACACACACACACACAAGAAGAAGAAGCTTTCATGGTCCTAGGTGCCAGAGGTGCCCCTGTGTGTTAGAGCGGTGATGAAACCCTCTAATACCTGAAACACAAACTAGACATCCACACTCCAGGGAATTAATCTGCTGATGCTGGAACAAGAGAGGAACAGAGGTCCATGCTCCACATCCTGAAGGTTACAGTAAGCTGTTGTCCCCGCATGTGCTTGTTAAAGCAGAGAGCTTATCTTTTTTTTAATCGCACATCAATCAATAAATCTGATGGTACACAGCTCTGGAGGCTAGTTGACAGTACACTGGTGATACATGCTGATATTTACGGGTGAAACTCAAAAGATCGTTATGCCAAAGTTAATTTATTTCAGTAATTCAACTTAAAAGGTGAAACTAATATATTAGACAGACTCATTCCATGCAAAGCCAGATGTTTCAGCCTTTATTTGTGATAATTGTGATGATTATAGCTTACAGTTGATCAAAAAACCCCAATTCAAAATCTAAGACTTTTAGAAAATTGTGTAAAGGTTCAATATTCTAGACTCAAAGTGTCACACCCTAACCCTAACCCTAACCCTGTCTCTGTAAACAATAAAACCGCTAATGAAAATGATACCCTCAAAAGACGTTCCCTTGCTGTTAATTTAACTACCCAGCAAATACTGTATTCTGACGTTTAATCAACATTGAAAAGACGTCGGGCCAACATGTCCCATCATGGTTGAAAAATAGTTCCAAAATGAAAGTTGAACCGACGTCTTTTTTGGATGTGAATTACACGTCTTTCAGCATGTCTCATTTGGACGTTTAATAACCATCAGTGTACATCTCATCTACACTGAAAAAATAAAATGTAGTTTTTACATTTAATAATAATTATAATAAATAGGATATTTCCTGTGTCCGACCTTGCTTTATTGATGGGCTTATCCCAGCCTGGACTCAAACCTGGGTCCTCTAGAGCAGGGATTCCCAAAGTGTGGTGCGCGCAGCCCTAGGGGTGCGCGAGCTGCCGCTAGGGGGTGCGCGAGGTGAAAAGTGTAATGGCTGCGGAGCTCAGAGAAGTCTGTCATATGTCACCATTAGCGTAGAAACTCATTTGTGGGTGGGCCTAAGAAAAAGTAAGTGGGCACAATAAATGTAATTGAAAACAAGTATACTTTTGCGCGCGTGTCCTCCACATGTGCCCTAGCTTCATAATAACAATGCGCCGAGCTTCAGCACTCTGGCCTGCGCACGCCGATATGTTCCGTATTTGATCATTTTTAACGGTGTTGGAGGAATCTGAAGGTGGTGAGTCATTCTGGCAGATTGTAATTAACACCTGTCTCATGCAGGTGTTCTGACATTGTAAACCTCACACACAGAACATTGTGGATGTATCAAAATAACAAGAAATGATTCCCATTCAGGCTATTGACAGCACGCTGAAGATTTGAAGTTCAGAGTGCGTCTGTCAGAGGTCAGACGTGTTCCAGCGGAACCACGGCTCACGGGTGCACAAGTGAGCACATCTGGGCTGGGCAGAAGTCATTTTACAACATTGGTTTAAATAGCGCGAGACGCGGTGACTTGAGCGGCTGTGCCGCGCGCGCGCACACACACACACGCAGATTCAATAAGCGCACACGCTGCTTTAACTCCGGCACGCCATCAGACTGAAGGCAGAAATGAACGCTGCCTCCACCATGATAACAACTTTTAAGAGGTTATTTTTCATTCAAGGTCAAAATAAGATATTAGCTTCTGGGATGAGTCGGGTCCGCTCCAGCCAGTGACTCCGAACCTGACCACAACTCACGTTGCTGCAGCATTTGTTATTCCAGTCCGCGTGACAGCGGATCACAGATTCAGCCACACCATAAAACAGCAATAAGTCGGTCTGAGGCAAAAGTGAACATCATGGCTATATCTTGTCCCCTATTGACATTTGATTACGCACAAGTAGGTGATCAGCTCAGGTTTACGCAGAGCAGAAGGAAGGAGAGCGCTCTGGCCGCACAGGTTAAACGTTCCTACTTTAAGAAAACCGTTAAATTGCATTATTTATGTGCTACCTGGGCACTCTAAATATTTATTTAAAATGAAATCAAAGGAAATTGTAATGGTATCGAATGCTTATTAATTACCATTTAAAAAATGAAAGTGATGGGGAATTTTTTTAACCCTCTCTGTTTAGCTCGACATCTGATATATATATATATATATGTATATATATATATATATATATATATATAGAGAGAGAGAGAGAGAGAGAGAGAGAGAGAGAGAGAGAGAGAGAGCCATGCCCCGATGTGGGGGCGGGGGGGGGGGGGGGGGGGGGGGCGTCGACATGGTCGGGACATAGAAGGGGGTGCGCGGCTAAATAAGTTTGGGAACCACTGCTCTAGAGTATAAGTCAGATGACTAACCAGTTGAGCTGTCCCGTTGATAATTATTAAGTGACAATTGTCACAATTTAAATAGTAGATTTTCACTTACAACTGATTCACGACATGCCATGTGTTGAACTGTACGTAAGTTATTGTCAATGTAATAATTATACATGTAACTACAAATCTGAGTGGATTTTTAGGAAATGTTATGTTAAAATTATTTTAAAATATGGACCATTCTACCGCGACCATTTTTGGCCGTGGACGCAACGTTGCTGTCGGACCAATATTTGCTGGGATGCTATTTTGAACTACACGTAACTAATTGTCAAAAATAACAATTATACACATAATTGTAGGCATGCACAAATGTGTCTTAATGGATTTTTAAGACATGTTCTGTTATATTTTTTTTGCAAATTCGGGCTGTCCTACCACAAACATTTTTGGACGTGGACACCACGCCGGCGTCGGACCACTGTTTGTTGGGTACTAATTAGTTGACATAAAAAAGAAAGAAAAAACAGTGCAAAATGTAAAGCATCAATAAGTGAATTAAAGCCAGAGACGGAACAACTTCGTACTTTGCTGGACATTTGAAGTTAGCTAAAGAACAGTAGGTGGTACGTTGTTGCTATGACGAGGTAGCTAACTTTAGCTAACTTCACCTTATGACCACATTCTCTGGGCTACGTTTACGACACTGTTTGGTTTTAACACATATGCCGTTTCTGTCATGACATTTTAAATCCTGTTTTCCAAGCACATCTGTGAATAACGGGCAGCTAATTAGCTCAGGGTTGTCGTCTGTTTCAGGACAGCTTCTTTATTGCTGCTTTCGGACAGAAAACAGTTATGTTATAGGACGTGTGGAACTGAACTGGGTGCTGTTTATAGTTGAGTAGGTGGAGTTTATTCAGGGGTCTCCAGTATCTGCTGGTCCATCACAAGACATTAATCATATTGGCCTCCAGCTGGAGTGAGAAAATGCTGAAAGAACAAGATGTAAGATATGTGTAATGTTGTTTTAAAAAATGAATCGAAATGACTTGAAAATCAAAGTTTCAGGCAACTTCACCTGAAATTTGACTCAAACTTGCTTGTTTTGACTTGAGACTTGATCTGGGACTTGAAACACACTTGAGACTTGAGCAACATCCACAACCTATTCACTCACGCAGGAGAAAGCAGAGACTCTGTTGTTATTCTCCTTTTTTTCAGCTATTTTTCCAAATATTAGTTTTCTACAGAAGTGTCCCCCCCCCCCCCCCCCCATAACTGAAAGCAGAAATGAGTGTGGATTCTTCTTCTACAGACACGTGTCTATGTAGTGAATGAGCACACATGTGTGTATCTTGGTTTCATAATTGGCTTACAATGCCTTTCTCTAATTAAATAAGTGATAATTAGATTTAAGCAGATGTGCAGCAGGTTAAACCACAGAGTTTTACGCAGGCAGCTCGCAGTGGTTCCCAAAATTGTTTTCCTTGAGGACCCCCTTCCCCATGTCCATGACACCCAACTCCCACACACATGGAATGTGATCATTTACAAACTGTAAAAAGAGTTCTAACTTTATATGGAGTTTTGATTATGCTGTAGGATGTGTTATTGGGATTTTATAAATGTCATTTTTTTCCAGATTAAATCTTGCTAACCTCACAACCTCAGCACAGACTACATTGTGAGGACCCACAGCTGAAAGGAAATAATGTGGGAACT